CAGACATGTGCTTCACTCATGCCACCCCTGCGCTTGTTTGTTTCATTTGAGGTAGCATTTTAAATTGTTAATGATGATAATGATGATGATGATGATAATAATTTTTTCTTGGGGTTTTCTTGGCAAAATTTCTATTATTAATTGTTATTGTGTTGATGCTGATTTGTTGCTGTTTGCTTGGAGTTTTCTTGGCAAAATTTCTTCAGAGAGGGTTTGCCATAGCCTTCCTCTGAGGCTGGAAGAGTGTGACTTGGCCAAAGTGGGTATGTAGGAATTATTTTTTTAAATTAATTAATTAATTAATTAATTATCTACTTCCACCCTCCAATAGTCTGAGGGACAATGACCCGGCCCCTGGCCCAAAAAGTTTGCCTACCCCTGGTGTAGAGTGTTGGATGATGACCCTGGAGACCAGGGCTTGTCCATGTCACACATGTAGGCAAGTCACACGCTTTCAGCTTCAGAGGATGGCAATGGCAACCTCCCTCTCAAGAAATTTGACAAGAACACCCCCACCCCCTGATAGGCTCTTCTTAGGGTCGCCCTGGGTTGGAAACAACTGGAAGGCACGCAACCATCTTCACAATATGGGTCCACCTCTGGCTTTTCTTCGGGGCCCAGTTTTCAGGGCAAGGGGGAATTTAGTGGCAAGGGATAAACCAGGATGCGACGGGTCCCCACAGCCCCATGTTGGACTTGAGTCGGGAAAAGAGAAGGCTGGGAGACTCAGCAACAAAGGATGGGTTGGTCCAGAGCATTCCCCATAAATCTCATTATAGGTTCACCTTGTTGTTGTCATGTGCCTTCAAGTTGTTTCCAACTCATGGCAAGGGGTTTTCTTCGCAAGTTTTCTTCAGAGGAGTTTTGCCATTGCCATCCTCTGAGGCTGAGAGAGAGTGTTTTGCCCATGATCACCCAGTGAATTTCATGGCCAAGCCAGGAATCAAACTCTGGCCTCCAGGGTTGTGGTGCAACCCTCAAAGCACTGTGCCAAGCTGTTTCACCTCAGGGTAGCCCTAAGTTGGAAAAGACTTGGAGGTATACAACAACAACAAAGTGGGATTTCTCAAGGTACATCTGTACTGTCAGAAGAAAGAGGTTTTTCTGCCATCACTCCAGCCTATGGAATCCTGGGGTTTGTAGTCTTACAAAGACTTGAGCCTTCTCTGCTAAAGAGAGCATATGCCTCAGGAAATGACAAATCCTAGGATTCTGTAGGATGAAGCAGTGGCAGTTAAAGTGGTGTCAAAAACTGCATCATTTCTACCTAAAGCTTCATCTACACTATAGAAAGTATGCAGTTTGACACCACTTTTAAGTGCCATGCCTCCAACCTACACTAGATTTTCCGGTATAAAAAGCAGGGCCACAAGAAGTGCTTTCCTTCATGCCTCAGAGAAAAAGGGAAGGCTAAGGGAAACCAGGCAGGTAGGCCTCTGGGGCTGACAGAAGAGAAGAAGAATGGGGCCTCTCCTTCCTCCCTCAGACAGGCCTTGCCTGTCACTAATGAGCCCCAAAGGGAATTGAGCTGAAAGGAAGAGGGAAGGAAAGCTCTGCTCACAGTCACCCCATGGGACTCTTGCTTTCTTTTCACAGGCAGCCAAGTTCAGCCTTCGCAGAAGCAAGGAGCGACCTGGACACCAGTGCCGTGGAACACTGCAAATCTAGTGATCCTTTTCCAAACCTATTACCTTTATTTGCTGGGGACGCAACTTGTTTGTTACAAAAGATGTTGGTGAAAAAAAATTGTGATGTGGGGAAACAGGGGAGGAGGTGGGGAGAGATTTCCAGTATATATTTGTTTGTGTTGTGTGCCTTCAAGTTGTTTTCAATTTACAGCAATCCTAAGGCAAAGCTGTCTTTGCTAAATACCCTAATGGCATCAGATCCCATATGAACTTGGAAGATAAGCAAGACCAGTTCTAGTTAGTACTTGAATGGGAGACCATCAGTGAATACCAGGTGCTGTAGGTTACATTTCAGAGGAAGGAACTGGCAAAAACACTTCTGAGTATTCCTTGCCTAAGAAAACCCTGTGAAAATCATGAGGTCGCCATAGGTTAACATGTGACTTGAAGGCACATGCACTCAAGGCAAACCTGTCATGATATCTTTCTTTCTTTCTTTCTTTCTTTCTTTCTTTCTTTCTTTCTTTCTTTCTTTCTTTTTTGCAAGATTTGTTCAGAGGGAGTTCCTTTTGCCTTGCTTTGAGGCTGAGAGAGTGTGACTTGCCATGATCACTAAATAGGTTTCCACAGCTAGGCAGGGATTCAAACTCTGGTCTCCAGAGTCATAGTCCAACCCTCAAACCACTACAGCACACAGGCTCTTGCATTTCTTGACCTGTTAATTTTATCTTGTCCAGCTGATTCTGGATCATGTTTCTAACCCATTGATTTTTTTCCCTCTTTCTTTCTCCCCAGAAATATGAAATGTTGCAAGCAGAAGGCGTCAACCTTTTCCTTTTTATAGATAGTGCTACTATCTAGGGACTGATGACTCTCATGATATTTTATCCAATAGGATGAGGGAATCTTAAAGGAACACATAGCATAACCTCTCATTACTAATACATTCTCAAATTCTGTGTTCACTATACAGATACACAAATTGCTTCTCCCTCCCTCCCAAAAAACTCAGCTAGTATAGGTAGTTTTCTGATGAGTTTATGGTGGGGTGGTAGGAAGAAGTTTGGTTATGGTTGTGGTTTTTCTAATTTAACAAATGGGCAATCAGACAGTAAGTGACCATTAGCAGAGTTTAACAGATTACTTTTCTATGGACTTCCAGCAATGAATACTAATTCTCAACAGTCTTCAAAGCCACCTTACAATAGCCCTGTGAGGAAGGTAAGACAAGGTTGTTGCTGTTGTTTCTCTTTTTTAATGATATTTGAGAGAATGACAATACTAACCACATTTACTTTATTTAAGGGATGACAATACCTTGCAGCAGATCTCTTGTGGGATTGCTAGTGTGAAAACTGGAGAGGCCTCTTGTACTTTTAATAATTGTGTAGAAAGGGGCATTTCAGCAAGTGTTGCTTGTTACCTGGTTGTGTGACAAGTAACACCTGCTGAAATGTCATGTTCTACACAACTGTTGAAAGCACAGAGGTTCTTTCCAGTTTTCAGTCTGGCAACTCTAATTTATGTCAAACATTATATGAGAGGAACAACCACCAAGCACACCCTTTAAGTAGGCAAATCAGCTCCTTCCTCTAAGAAAAAAAAATCAGAGCTTGGAACATTACCTTTCTGACTACAACTCCCAGAATCCCCCAGCCAGCCAGCATAGTCATTGGATAGTTGTGAATAGAATTCAAAATCTGTTCTATGAGGCATTTCTCTCTGCCTTGCAGTGGGGCTTCGCCTGGACTCTGACTCTGAGTATCAATATAGTAGCACAAACCACACAAGGATAAAAGTTATTCCATGATGCCAACTCTCTATGTAATCATAGATCATCTTTTGTCTCTGATCCATAACATTTCCATTCTTAAGTGCTTAAAAGCACCACTTATTGTAAAAGAGCTGTAGTTCTGTGGCCAAGCATATGTTTTATATATGACAGTATCCAAGGTCAATTCTTCACATCTCCAGTTAAGGGCTCTGTGGTAAAAAGGCAGTGAAATGTTTCAAACCCTACAAAGCCATTGAACATACCATGTTTATATAACTCTGTTAGATGTGTCATCACATTGTTGTAATGGACATTATCTTGTAACCACTCTTATGTCCTATTTAATAACTAGCATTGGGTATGCCAAAGGGTTGAGGAGGCTTAAAGAATATTGTACATTCTAGCTGATTTTGAAAATCTGCATTCAGCTGAGCAACAATTTGTTTATTCTTCCCAGTTTATATGCATAAAGAAATCTTGTACATGATGCCTACTCCAGACAATGTGCCAGTCCTCTCAACAGGGAAATGGAGCTCCTGAACCAAGGGTTTGAAATTGTTAGCTGCACTCTGTGCTATGTTGGAAATAAAATACAGGTTTGAATAATGTTTGGTAAGCTTCTGCACTTTATATTTTTAAATTTCAAATTTTACCTTTGACAGACAAAATGTCAGGTCTGAGGCTGGAAGACCATTATGCAAGCAGTTGCACTTTCAAAGACGTTGTACAAGGGTGTTATCTGAGAGGCTTTTAATACTCCATCATTATACTCCATTTTAATGCTATGGCTGCATCCTATAGAATCATGCAGTTTGTAGGGGTTTCTAGAGCCCTGTGGCAGTTAAAGTGCAATCATAGTACCATAATTGTACATTATGAAAGGAGCCCCTAATCAGAGTCGTACAAGCAGCACAGCCATTGTGCAACACATAAAAACAAGACATTTTCAACCATTTTACAATCAATTTTATAATCCAGTGTGTAATCCAGTCTTGTGTAACTGCAACATAATTACTGGTATACCTTTTACACAATGTGAGCTCTGAACAGGATCCTTTCTTGGTGGTTTTAGACAATTATTGGTTAATTTATCACAGTCAATGTTTGACATGATAGGTCATCCAATTCACTGCTGATTTCATTTAAAATAAAGAACCTCCCTAAGTGTAATAGCAACCACAGCTAGTACTGTTGTCTGAACACCAAATTAAAAACCACAGATTAGATGTGAATTGTTGTAGTGGTATTTGAAAAATGTGATCCCCTGCACATTAGCATCAAGTCTAATTTATATGCCATTTTCTAGATATTCTATTAAGATAATTGCATGGAACTCTACCATTTTTTATGTAAACACTGTAAGGCAACAATGAATCAATAATACAGTACTTCAATTATAGGTAATCACAAAACCAGCTAACTGGTCTATTCACATTTTGTTCACATTTCTTCTCACTGGCGTGACAACATCAGGAATGTTATTGTATGACAGAAAATGTCAACTCTCCATTTAGGTTGTCATAACTATAATTACACTCTGTTACCATGGCTGGCCATTACTATTATCTTACAGAATCTACAGTACAAGAGTGGGCATATTTTAAGTCATTTTCTTTCCCTCCCCTGCATTAAATTGTAGTATGTTTGCTGATTATATAAAAGCTTTCATTTTTCTCAGCATTAATTATCTGCCACATAGGAGCTCATACTTGAAGGCATTCCTGCAGAAACACCTGCAGTTAGAATCTGCCTGACACCTCACATTACACATCGCTTTTAAATTGGTTACAACTCTTCTCCATTTAAATGAATTTTAAAGGCTGTTCTTAATGATATGTAGTCCATGTTATATCCTCAATGGATTCCGCCCCCTCTCCCAGACCTCCACAATCCGATGTGCTCAAATTTTACCTTTGACAGTCAAAATGTCAAAACAAGGGAGCATATAACTCCTTTATATGCTGGACCATTGGTGATTGGGAATGATGGGAGCCACAGTATGAAACACTTGAAGGGCTCCTACTCTAATAGATTACCACCAACACCATTTACTATACTCACTCTCCATTCATAAGCAAAATCAATATTTGAATTTTCTCCAGTTGATACCAGAATATACTTTTCAATCCCATTTGTTAAACATAAATACTCACTTGTTCTCCAAACATATATTAAATTTTCATTCTCTTTTTTTTTCATTGCAAGTAAGTAATGTGAAGTAACCAATTTGGAACAATTCAAAACAAAAAGGTATTGTGTTATCATTCTTTGTTCTAAAGAAAGAATGCAGATATATTGTAATCCGTTGAAAGAACAGTGTGGAATATAATTTTAAAATATAAGAAAATTAAATTGGTATGATTTCTTCCACTTCAGAAACATGGTATTTTGCTTTAAGATGACATCAGGATGTTATCCACTCTTTTTCCTTAAAAGATATGAAAACAAAACACAATGCCTTCTTTCTCCTTCCAATATGGACAGTACTGTACTGTGCTTTTATCTTTCATTTAACTAATGAGAACTTTTGACAGAGAATGAAAGCAACAAAAATATGACAGATGGCAAGGTGAGAAGGGGATGTAGCTACAGATTTCTAACCATAGCATAGATTGTATTTAACTAGATTAAAATAGTGTCAATAAACCTTTTCAATAAAGCTGCTTTAACCTCACCCAACGAATCTTGGAGGCAGACCAAAACATGGAATTAATTCATTAAAATTTAATTTGTTACCCATAATTCATTATAATTTTGACAACTAATTTAAAAGCCATTATTTTATTCATTTTTACATCAACGGTGTTAACAATTAACATTTACACTGGTATATTTCATTATTTGAGGGAGTAATTTTGGAAGATGGTGATCATTAGCTATTTTTAGTAATTTTAATTAATGTTTTTAAATTTAAAAGAAATGTGTTACTAACAGTTAATATAATTAATTAATTCTTATTATACACCAAATAAATTAACATAAACAAATTAAATTTTTGAATTAACACTAATGCATTAGTTTTGATTCTGTTGTATCCATGCTCTGAGCCCCCTAGCAAATGTGACATTTGCCCAAAATTAAAAGATTGAAATTGTAGCGAAAAAGACTATTGATACTCACCTGTACATCTCATCCTAAATAGCCTTACATGTGCTTCAGTGTACGTCAGAACATGAATACATAGGATTGCAGTGTATGAATTATGATGAAAGAAAATCTTGCCTACTACCAAAGTAGATTGGAAAGTTAATTATGCTGAAAAAGTGCAGAAAATATATTAGCAACAGGACAATAGGAAAAAGAATGAGCACTTACCTTTATACTTTTTTTTAAGTTGAAACCAACCATATTAGTTCAGATTGTAGTTCTATAGGTTGCACCTATTATTTCAATGCTATATAATTTAAAAGTTACCATTTTTAATCCTCATAAATTGTAAGACTTTGCCTGTTCAAAATGCGCAATCACACATATATTTGTACAATGCTTGCTTTTTGTCAAGTTAAGGTATGAGTTTTGTAAGGAAGATTTTGTGGATATCAGAAGTGAATCAACAATCCTTTCCAACTCATTGCTTTTGTGTATTTTGAAAAAGTGTTTATGCCAAACACACACACCACATATATTCACATCCTCCTCTGTTATGCAGCCCCAAAGTAACTTATAACAGAGCTTAAAAGATAACAGGTAAAATTGGAAACAGTTAAAAGCAATGTCATATTAAATATAACATTGAATTTAAAACATTGTAAAAGCAGCTAAAATATAACAAATGGAGAGAAAAGTATCACCCACCCCAATAAAAATCTTCTCACAGAGATCATTTAATGGCCAAAGGCTTACCCATATAAAAAGGTATTTGTAAATAAAAAATAGAAAAGAGTCAACCATGTCTTTTGTCAGAGGGATTTAGACAGCCTAGGAG